GGATTATTTCTGAGCGAGAAGTAACGTAGTTAATATTTTGTCATAGGGAGATAGTAATGAAAATCAAAGGCAAACGGCTCTCTCCCTGTCTTCTTCTTATGTACCATATATTCCTTTTCATCATTATATTTAAAAATAAAGACACACAAATACATATTCATATATATGTATGTGTTAATATAAATACATATATTAATCATATATATTAACACATGTATTAATATTATAAATATATAATATATATTAATATATGTATTAATCTCTCGTAATATTTTTGTTCCATCTCGATAGAACGAGTCGTTTCCAAACTTCTTTTACGTAGTCTACGATTTGTTAAATTTCACACCTGCGACCTTCCTCTTCTCAAGGTACGCATCGCACGGAGTCGTCTGTACGAATTTTAACGCGTAGCATGCAAAACGTGGCATGGCCGCATAATCGCCGTGCATCTGAATTTACGCGCAAACATATAGTGTGCGTGTGCGCGCGCGCGCGCGCGCGCGCGTGTGTGTGTGTGTGTGTGTGTGTGTAATATATACACTATTTAATCGTGCGTCTTGTATTGATGCACGCAGGAATTTATTTCCACTGACTTGTGCTACGCTGCGTTGGACGGATCGTTGAATGAATTCGCTTTGTTAATTTTATCGAACTCGCACGTTCTTATCCGCGCGTGTTCATGGGCGCGCTCTCTCTCTCTCTCTCTCTCTCTCTCTCTCTCTCTCTCTCTCTCTCATCGATCACTATCAATCGTCGAGCGCAGAGACGCAAGCGCATTCCGGAATGTTTAAATTTAATAGAATACGCGATGTATATCGCGTGATAATCTCCTCAAGTGTATCCGTGGCTTGAGCTATCGGTATATCGCGCGTATGTAATACCAAAGCGGGTTCCCGCGGAAAATAAACCAATGAAAATCAGCGCGACCGATTTTACAGGCAATGTCGATAAATCAATGCTATAATGACAAATAATGCAAGTGTAAAACATGAAAGTACGATTTTTGTAGGACTACTATCCTATGATCGATAAACCTTTTTCATACTTTCTACGAGATCGCTAGATATCTGCCTAACATCGAGGCTAAATTATCAGTGTCAAAAATATACGCGATGTTGAAGCATCGTTACTGACGTGTCAGTCTGTAACGCGAACGGCGATTTCCCAACCGAGACGCGGTCGTTCCGAGCGTCCGCTGCGCCTAAATAACGCGTCTGCTTGTCGGGGTCTAATTTCGCAGATAACGCGCGAACCGTCGCGAACGTAATCTAGTTACTAGGCGTACAATCTAATCGACCGATTCATATTATGTGTATGCATACCTGCACGTACAAACTACACTTCTATTCGTAGAATCGCACTAGCCCGCGCGATAACGTCAGTTTGTCTTTAATGTTACGAAACTAAATCGTGATATGTTACGCAACTCTCTTCTTGCATTAATTTGACTATTTATTTTCGTCACTTTAACGTCTGTATATATACGCATAGTAAAATTTCCTGTCACTAACAATATTTCTGGTAATTTTGCGAAATATGATTTACAACAAAAAGTGCTTTGATAACGATAGATATACTGTAGAAATGTATTTTAATATATACGTAGAGTAATTGAATTTAAAAGTCTTTTTACGCCAACTTAATTTTGAGATATTCTTTCTTTAAGAATAATTTGATCAGTCCAATCTTTTATCACAATTCTTAATTTTTATCAAGGATTCTTTCTCCCTCTTCTTCTTTGTAATAATTCAAGAAATGAAAATTATTCATGTACATTCTACAGACAGAACATATTTCGAAATATTCTCTTTTAAAAGTTTATCCTTTTCTCTTTTTAAGAAATGTTTCTAATATTATATTACATTATTTTCTATATTATTTCACAATTTCAATATTTTATGAAATTTTGTAAAATTACATTCGTATCTTCGAACCTCTTGAAGGGATCACAATTTGCATAGAATAGCGTTAGGAAGCAAGATCGATACGAAAAAATTGAGCACAGCCATTTTACAGTGTCCGACAATTCTCGAAGCGGTGAATCGAAGGACTGAAGAAGCTAAGAAGAACGAGAATAACGGGTGAGATTCAGCGTCCGTTATGGTTCAAGGAGAACACACCGTTACCGGATACATCCCTTTTCTCTCATGCAGGTGCACCGAAGAAAATTAACTGGCCATCGCTGCTCTAATTGCCCCGGCATATTAATGATGCCGTGCAAATATACAATCAAACTGCATTATAAATTAATAAGGGTTAGCGGTCGTCTCGATGAGTGGATCGAAAGATTTTCTGTTTTAATTACTTTAATTAATTAAGCGCCGATATTCCAAGAACGGAGACATAATTCGTAAAGACGGTACGAGTTTAGTTTTTTTAAAACGATGATATTAATGTAATTCCGGTCACGTTTCTATCGACATCGCTCGATAGCCGAAATAATAGACAGTGAGTAGTAATACGTGTCGACAAAATACATTAAAATTAGAAAAGCTAGATAAGCCTGAAAATAACGACTAAGCTTATTTTGCGGAAACAACCGACTTTAAAGAATTAATTTACGAATATATGCGAGCATGTGACTACTAATGTACCTACATATTTACATAAGATTTTATATAAGTAGAAAAAATAGTAGTACAAGAATAGAAATTCCAAACACAATAGCAGTTTCGTAGGATCTTCTAACAATCTTTTTTTCTAATCGGACTTTTTTACCGAATCTCACGGTTCTCGTAATCGAACATATATTGAGAGAACGAGAGAAAAAGAAAGATATTGTTACGTGCACGCTGTCATATGTCCTATCATAAATCGCGCGTTGAATTGTTCGTGCGAGCTAAAATTACCGAGCGCGAGCGTTCGCGCGATATCCCGTGAATCGGACGGGTGACGATTACTGTGACGAGGTATAGTCATGGGAACAGTATAGTTTCTCGCGGTCAACGAAATATCGACTGACAAAGGAGATTAGGTGGGCGCGAGTCGCAACTTTGTCCGAGATCATCCTTGAGAGAATCCGCTTCTGCAAGTCGCTGAACGGAAAGTTCTATCGCTACACGCCGCATGCGCGCGCACGCGTACGAGGCGCATACGTAGCTGATGCACGCGGCGGCTAAATTTTTCAAGAACGTACGGCATCATCATCGCGCGCTTCTTATTTTTTACCAGAGCCGCTGCGGGCCCCCTTCTCTCTTCTTTCTTCCCCTTCCTAGTTCGTTCCCTCGTTCGTATAGTCCGCCGTGTCCTGTTTTTGCGATTTTCCTCCGTGTCTTTCTCTCTTTCTCTCTCTTTCTCCGGTGGTGTGTACTCGCGGAATCTATTTATACCTAGGTCCTCTGGTGTTTTCAACTTGCTGCACAGCCGTGCAACAAGCTTAACCTGCGGTCTCTCGTAAAAATAGGAAATAGGCGGGCTGAAAAAGGAGCGTTTCGATTTGAAGAAACTCTCGCGCGGTCCGCAGGTGCGTGCGAAATATCATCTGCGAATAGCAATTGTCCGCCTCTTAATATTTATACCGCGTGCTTAACATTTGCGACACGTGGCCTCTCCTAACTCTCGTGCATCGTAAGCGTATAAATAAAGAGAGACGAAACATATATGTTTGTACATAAGTATATAGATATAAGTATATACATATGTTTATACATAAGTATATAGATATATGTATATACATATATTTATACAACGTACATGCGAAACGCGGGACACCGTGCGTAAATCCCCACGGATGCTGAAATCCTGCGCCTCAAAAAATCGTAATCGCTTGCGGTTAGTGAACAAAAAAAATAAAAATAAAACAGCTCTCTCTCTCTCTCTCTCCTCTTGCGCGCGCGCACACACAGCGCGGTAACGTGACGAAATCGGGCATGTAAAAAAAAACAAAAAAAAAAGTAAAAAAGGAAACGAGGAAAAAACGATTACTCCCACGCGGCGGGAGCCCCGCGCACCAGAGGAGGTGTGGTGCGGCGTGGAAAACGAGAGTGAACGCGTAAAGTCTAGCGCGTACGCGCGGCGTGACGCGACATGGCGTGGCGCGGTGTGGTGCGGCGCGACGGCGACGGCGACCGTGGCACGGTCGCGGCACGGCCCTGGAGCGACGCACAACGAACGAGGATCGAGCGCCTCTCGCGGCGCGAAAAGAGCGAGAGCGAGCGAGCGAGCGATGGATTACGTCATGTGCCAGGCACTCTCTAACGTCTGGCATTATCTTCGTCTAGGGCGAGTCTAGCCGCGCCAGTCCAAACGGTACCAACGCCGCGCTACCGCCAACACTGCCGCCACCGCCGCCGCCGCCGTCGCCGTTGCCGCCGCCGCCACAATCGCCGTCAGTCACCTTCGCCGTCTGGCATACATAGGCAAGGGCATACGAGACACGTCATCGTATGTGGATTCATGAAAGGACACACGCGCGCGTATTCTAGCCGCTAACTAGGTGTTCAACGACACGTATGCGTGTCGGAGCCAACGGACACACGCATGCACGCATCGCGTATACTCTCGCTCGTGTGTTGGTGCATGTGCACGGCACCGTCGCGAATACGCACACCTACATACATTATATTTGCATGCACGCGTACCGCTATACGACTCGCGCGACAGATACATGCAAACGCCCGTCCCTTCTTTCTTTCTCTCCCTCGTCTTCCCTCTTTTTCTTTCACACTCTTTTTCGCTTTTTTCCCTTTCCCCCCCCCCCCCACTCCTCCCTCTTCCACGTTAATCGCGCCTTCTTCCTCTTATCCCCTTGCCGGATTTTCTCCGTCTATCCTCTTATTCCCTGCCTCTCGTCCGCTCCCTTTAAGTACCCCCTCCCGAATTTTTTACTCTTTCTCTCTTATTAAGCGAGCCTCCCTCTTCCTCTACGCTTTCGTCTCACTCTACTCCATTCCCTCCCTCTCTGTCTTCCCTAAACTTCTTCCTCTGTCTCTAGCGCAACCGCGTACACCGTGAAAGCCGTACAGGCAGCCGAAGGCCACCGGTCTCAGCTGTGGACGTACCTTGATCGTCAAGCGAGAAGTGAAGTGTTGGACCTCCTTTGCCCGGCGTCCTTGTCGTCGACGCTAAGCCCCGTGATTCTATCGTTCTAATACGACGAAGATGACGGATCGGACGTCGGCGGGACGAACGTCTTTCCTCTAACTTCCGCCGATTTCTTCTAGTCCTGCCGAAATATCGCCGAGTAGACAGATGCGCTTGTCTCTCGCTTTTTTTTACTCTTGCGTTTCTTCTCTTCCGCGACCAGCTCTCTTTCAATTTTCACAAATCGCTGCCGATCGCTATTGTATTCTATGACGTCTCTGACGGACGAACGGACCGCTAGCGATTGTACGATGACATATGAGCCAGTCGCGTGTATCACTAACGAGCCTCGTTAATCGATGGATCCTAATTTTCTCAGATTTTTCACACTCGCCTCACAAACATCACCCTTGGATCGTCAAAGACAATCTCGAAGACACGTGGATACCGCGTAACGAAAAAAAATCTTCCTCGCGCGCGCTATCTCCTCATTCTTCTTCCTCGCAACTCGTCCCAAATCGACGTGACGCACTTTCCCTCTCGCGCTCTTCTTGCGTTCCCGATCTTCAGATCCACGGAACTACGTCGATCACTTGGGATTGCGCGGAGATACGACCCCCAGGGAACACAAGGGTCGGATGACGAAAACGTTGGATGAGATTTAATAGCGCATGTACCATAGCATCACTCACACCGTGACCGAGGACCGTTTTCTCTTTCTCTCTCCTCAAGGAAATCGTCTCCCTTTCCCTCTTCTTCGCGTGTAGAACGCGCGTAACTGGATCACCGTAACGCGTACTCGCGATCCCGTCGATCCACGCATGAGCGCGCACTGTTTTTCCGCCTTGTCCCTCGTGAGATATCCGAAGAATGCACACTTCTTCTCTCTCTCTGTTTTTCACGATGCCGGGTTAACTTATTCTTCCAAAACGTACGCGACGATCCTCGTCGATCGAAAACGGCGAGAAGGAACGTGGTGACGAAGAGTGAGAAAAGGGGGAAGAAACACGAGAGATTTGGCGAAGGAGGAAAATGAAATTGTTAACACTTTCTAATGCGTAACACGTGCCGCAGAATTATTGGAACGATACGCGACAGAGAGAGAGAGAGAGAGAGAGAGAGAGAGAAAAGGAGAGAGAGAGAGAGGGAGAGAGAGCGGGCAACGATGACAATTGTCGATGTTAGAATGTCCTGCGTGTATTATCTTGCGCGCCGATTGAACGTCGAGGATCGGAGGACCCAGCTGCTCTCCTCGCCGCTTCTTTGGGACACACACCGGGGGACTACCTAGTCGTAGAGTGATTGGGAACGCGACTGGCCAAAGCACTTGATTCGCGCGCGGTTCGGTTTGCCCGTTGCTGCGCCTCTCCCGTGCAGTTTTTTCGGCAGTCCTGTGGTATGCGTGCGCGCGCGGCGTGCATGTGTGCGTGCCGAGTGCCCGCGAGCGCGCTTCCGCGCGCGTGTGTACGCTCCTCTTTCTCCGTTTCTCTCTCTCTCTCTCTCTCTCTCTCTCTCTCTCTCTCTCTGTGTCTTTCTTCTCTGTTTCTCTTTCTATCTGCACGAAGAGCTCTTTTCGTTCTCCTTCCCTCCGCGCCGTTCTTCCTATCCCTCTCTCACTTCCCTCGTTTTTAACACGAGAGTGTGCCGCTTGCACCCGCGTATATGTGTGTGTGTGTGTGTACGCGGGCCCTCACGTGTGCGTGCGTGCGTGCGTGGCCCCCGTGATGTACGCCGAAGAGTGGCCCTGCGCGCGAAAAAGAGAGGGTTGAGCGTGCGAGAATGAGCGAGTGTACGTACGGTCGTCACGACGTATGCGTGCGTCGCACGCGTACGTAAGTATATGTATATACACGTCCGTCTGATCCGGCTTGTCGTTGTGTCGTACGCTGCATATGTGCGTGCATATGTGCGTGCATACGTGCGTGCATACGTGCGTGCGTGCATATGTGCGTGCATACGTGCGTGCGTGCGTGCGTGCGTGCGTGCATGCATGCGTGCGCGTCCCGGGTAGGCGAGGGTATAGTTACCGAAATGTTAACCTCGTGGAACCACTTTTTATTGAGTGTCGCAAAATTCATAGGAACCTTGCGACGTGAAGAGAGGGGGTTTAACGCGGCCCCCGCTCCTCTCGACCACGCTAGCGGGGCTGACGCCGCGGAGGGGCGACAACCCCTACCCTCCGTGCCACGGGGTCCCCCGCGGCACCCCTCCGCGTACCATCAGACGTCCGCCCTCCTCCCCCCTCTCCGCCCTCTTCCTCCTTCTCCTGCTTCGTCACTTCCTCCTCCTCGTTCTCCTGATCCGCGTCCTCATCCGCGTCCTCATCTTCGTCCTCTTCCCCTCGCTCGCTCGCTCGACTCGAGGCCCTGGTCCTCGCCAATTCTTCGGCCCCCCACCATTTCCTCGCTAGTTGCCCCCAACCCCTGGTTTAGTTCTTTTCCCCCCTTGCCCTGGCACCCTTGGTCTCGAGCGTGCACCGCTTCGGCTCTGTTCCCCCTTGCTCGTCTCACGAGTCTCATCCATACCGACCAATCGCCCTCCTTCCTTTCCTCTTTCCTACTCGCCAACGTTGGCCCATCCGCTTATTCCACTCTCTCTTCTACTTCTTTCTATTCTTTTCTTCGCTTGACGCTCCTCTCTCTTTCCTTCTTTTCTCCTTCCCTCTCGCTATCTCTTCTTTTTTATTCCGCTATAACTTGTCTTCTCTCTTTCTCTCTTCTCTTCTTTTTTATCCTTACTTATCCACCCTTCCTTCACTTCGCTTTTCCGATCCTTCTTTCTTCCTCTCCTCCTTTCTTTCTCTTTCTCCCTCGCTTTCTCCTTACTTCTTTCTTCCCCCTTTGGCCGCCTTCTTTCCATCGCTCCTCTCCCGTTCTTCTCGTCTCGTCTCATCTCATCTCTGCCGTCAGCCTCCGAAACGAAACGAAACGAACGAGTCTCGTCTCTTCCCTCTGCCTCTCTCTGCCTCCCCTTTTCTCTCGCTCTATCGCAAGGCGACTATCTTCTTGTGCTGGTGTTTGACACCGCCAGCATCATGCTTTGCCCCCACCTGTCAGCCCTGTTACCACCCTGCAGCGTCCGGTATTTAGTCTTTACATAGCCAAACTTAAAAACGTAGGTTTAGCTGTACATAGTACGACCGATCTTCTTTTATGCACAATCCTACACGCAACATTTTGCGTCATCGTCTTTCATTTCGACTCTTTCGAGACCAGTGAGACATATGTGTTCCACTAAGAATTTCTTTCGATAAGTTTGATGGGATGCCTCTGTTCCACCCTGATCCATGCTGATATCTTACTCATGGTGCAAAAAAAAAATTAAATTTGTCATGAAAGAGTTAATATCGGAAGAAAACCTTTCTATCTCTCGCAGAGCACAAATTGGTTTTTAAATTGCGGCTCTACTCTGGGGCATAATCGGAAATGATATTTTTTTCTGCCGTTAATTCGATTCTTTTTGTAGATCAGCAAATTATCAGTCGCATTAATCTAAAGCGAATATATCTTTTTAATGTTACTTGTAATCCCAGATGCATCTGTGTCAATACGCTGCAAGGTGTTTCCTCTTTTAACATTGTATCCGAACGTATCTTTAGATTAGAGCGATAAACGGCGAATGCAGATTGCCGTCCTTCAATCGTTTAATCGAGCAGACCGTGATCGACGTTCGCTAGCTGTTCATTGAGATAACGCGCTTGAGAACTTGGCAATACTCTGCAGGTTCTCGTTGAACATCACTGAGCAATGGTTTTAGAGTATCTGTCTACATAATGCTATAAACGCTTTGAAATGCTTAGGTTACGATCTTAACCCATCTATTTTACATAGCGACATTATTAATACAATCTTAGCCAAAAATATTAGGTATCTTATCAAGTATCTAAAGTTTTAACTCAAAGATTGCTCTATAGCATTTGCAGCAAATATCCTTTGTTTTAAGAACACTTCAAACTTATAACTTATACTGTATAATGCCGGCGTTGTTACAAATAAGTAATAACGCAGATAAAAGAATTCTATATAAATGAAAAATAAATAGTACGTAATATTTTTAGCCAAGGCTATACAGCGTGAATTTTCCTTCACTTCTCTTTAGTTGAAAAGACGAAACAGTACAGAGCAATTAATTACAATCGGAAATTTTCTCTTATTGTTTTTGCATTGAGTGAATACCTATTTGAAGATTTTTAGGTATTTTGATGTTCGCTTTGCTAAGAATTCATAAGAATAACAGTTTTAAAAAATCTGTTTTATTTTATGCAATATGTCATATGATCTCGTAAAACAAAAGATTTAAAGTAGGTACAAAAGACTGTAAATAGAATCGTTTTAAATAAATAATAACTCAAAGCAATAATACAATGTTAAGCTAGCGATAAACTAGCAGTTGACAGCTTGATACAGTTTGAAAGTCCGTAATATATTCACAATAAAGAAAGAGAGAAAGAAATACAGTCTTAACAGTCTCTATCAATTAGATTCGTGGGTATTGACTTATCATGATATATTGTCGAATCCAACGAGATAGTCAATTAAGAGCGAATGAACGGGAATTCGCAAATGCGTGATAACAATCAACCTGATCCCGGTCTCCGGATTTCGACGCGATATAATCCACACTGTAAACGAGACATGTGAGACGATTGTGACACTTACAGTCTAAAATTCTGCGCTTATGCCAAACAATTGAGGCGGCGTGAACAAACTACCGTTACTCTTTCGCGCAGGCGGAAGCACATAAACGAAAACAGATTATTGTGGGGCGCATGAAAGCACAGCAGAAACCATTCGACAAAGAGCTACGCGATAATTATATTGTAATCGCTCGTTTTGTTACGTAAAATGATTCTGATCGATGGATAAAGTACCTAAAGATGATTCATAATACTAATACGAGTGTACACAGGAGTATCAATCGTTTGATTGAAAAATGCCAAACATCAATCAATTAATAGAAATAATCCTATTTTCGGTTAAAGTGGATCTTAGTGCTTTTGCTTTATAATACTGAAAACACTAAATTCACTTGATCGAAAATATGATTTTATTTTTATTAATTGATTTATTCTTGTCAGTATAATTTCGATTATAATTGCCAAATATTAAGTAATATTAAATAAATGATGTAAAATAATGTTTATGCTATAAACATAAGAAGTTGGAAAATGTCTCTATTATACACACAAAAATGTCTTTAAAGTTTTATGCAGTTATGATTATCTAGTATTCACACACACAAGAATTAATATATACTGTACAGCATTGCGCCGTTTAGTAATGCAAATGTGTCTATCGCATCCTGTTATAATCCTTATGATTTATTTTTGGCAATGATTATGAAAAATTTAACACGCAATATTGCTTCAAAAATTATTAATTTTTTTTTTGAGCGTTTGAAAAAAAACTTAAAATCAAGAAATATGCACTAAAAAAAAATTTCTAGTTGAAAATGGAGAAAAATAAGAATTCTAGTAGATTTTTTCTACCAGAAATATTATATCAACCAGATATCAACTAGAATTCCGGTTATTTTAATTAGAATTCTAGTAGAGATTTACATAACTAGAAAATACTGATTCGTCCATTTTCCACCAGAATTACTATTTAATCCAATCAAAAACCATTTTTTTCAATGTAAATATCATGTATGAAATTTTTTACTATTGACTTTTACAATCGAAAACACCTTGGTCAGATGAACTAAGAGAGAGAGTGAGAGAGAGAGAGAGAGAGAGAGAGAGAGAGAGAGAGAGAGAGAAAGAGAATGTTCGTACGATATATTATTGTGAACAACAATTCCAGGAATACGAAAAATATGATATATGGTCCTCTTACATAAGATAGCCAAACATTCAAGGAAATAGTAATAAAAATTATTAAGATGTGAACGATTATCGATCACCTTTGCTCGCATAAAGTCACGACGAGAGAAGAGCTCATCGCGCGTGATGCAAGCATTATATCGAATACCGCTTGCCTGGTGTATACTTTGTTACGCAATATCTCGAATCTGTAGGAATTCGCAGCCGTCGTCTTATTGTCTCCTTCTCTCTCCTGCTCCCTCCTTCTCTTTCTCTCTCTTTTTCTTCCGAGACAGGCGTAACTTGTTGCGAACACCGGCTTTCTTTACGTCTGGAAAAGGTGAATCGAACCGGATCCACAAGCGACTGCACGAGAACATTTGATTTGCTGCGTTTTGTATCGCTGGCATGCGAAATTTTGTTCGGCGATTTTAAATGTAAAATGGCTGCTTTATACGCGTCATCATTGTCACCGTCATTATTAT